CCTCAGCCTTCCAAGTAGCTGGAATTACAGGCATGCGCTACCACGCCCGGCTGATTTTTTGATTTATTGTAGAGATGAGGTCTTGCTGCCCAGGCGGGTCTCGAGCCCACGGGCTCAGGCAATCCACTCACCTCAGCCTCCCAAAGGCGCGGGATTACAGGCTGAGCCACCAAGCCCGGCTCGAGTAGTTTCTTAATACCTCCTTTTCTTAGAAGACTTGGTATATATATTTTTTGAATTGAGATTTCACTCTTGTCACTCAGACTGGAGTGCAGTGATATCACGGCTCACCACAAGCCTCCTGGGCTCAAGTGATCCTTCTGGTTCAGCCTTTCAAGTAGCTGGGATTACGGCACATACCACCACAGTAGACTAGTTTTTGTTTTTGTTTTTGTTTACAGAGATGAGGTCTCACTTTGTTTCCCAGGCTGGTCTCAAATACCTGGGCTCAAGCAATCCTCCTGCCTTGGCCTACTGAAGTGCTGAAATTATAGGCATTTAGCCATTGCACCCTGCCTATGTTAATTTTTTATTAACAAATATGTGATAAATTTCTTCTCATTTATAAAGAATAAAATAAAAAGACCATATTATATTGTATTTAAGTTGTATTGTTATGTACCTTCTTTTAGCCTAATCAAGTATAGTGCTTTGTTTAAGACCAATTTCTAATTATAATTGCTCCATGTGATTTTTCCCAGGGACTCCAGCTTAAAATGATACTGAATTCAATAGATCTTACTGCACTTATTAATCAAAATGTTTTAGCATTTTGTTATATATCTTGTATTATGATATTCTACTACTTGCATCATTATGACAATGAAACAGATAAAGTGCTTAATATAGTATAATAAACTATAATGACTCCATACCTTTAGTATACAGAATAGGCATAAGTTAATATCTTTTGCATTCAGCTACATTAAGTCATTTGTCATAAATAATTAGCATACTACAGGGTACTATGTAGGTCAGAGGTCATTGCTGTAGGTCTTTGAAGAACTGACAATTCTTTAGCAATTTAAAAGATACTACCAAGTCTGTTACTCATTTTACCTGTTGAAATATGTCCACTGGCTCAAATTTTGAGAAATAAATTACCTCATAAAAAAACAAGCTGTATTTTCATATATGCAGATTCTAGCTACAACTAAAAATGTAGATCTATTTATTGTCTATAACCAATTTCTAGTAGAACCCGAAACCATCAAGAATCTTATCAGTATTAAAGTGATAATGAAATCATAATGAGTTTCAAAAAATATATTCCGTGTAGGTCACTTATCATTTTTATGGATTATTTCGAATATATTAGCCATCTGTTATTTTCATTATATTTTAAATCATTTTCATTTTTAGAACTGAAAATCTTAATGGAAAGAATTATTTGTATGTCATTGACCGAGTATGTAACACTGTAACACATTCCCTGGCACATTGTAGGTGTTCAGTAAATAGTTCTTGAAAGGAGAATTGATGTTTAATGTGTTAAACCTTTACTCAAGCACCCAATAAACACTAAGATAAATTGGAACATGGCTAAAAATGTGTGAGAAATCTGTTAGAATAGTAACCACTTGAAACTTTTTATTTCTCAGTTTCTTAAAACCATCTGGGCATGCTTCTAATTTTTTTTTTAATCTATTTTTAAGTCTGAAAAAAATCACAATTTCTGGTGTGTGTTTTTGATAATGTGGTTTCAGGCTGTCATGGCACACTTGCTTGGCAAAATATCCCAATAGCGCTGAAACTCTGCCTGTCTCTTATTGATTATTATATAACCATTGCTTAGGAAACATGGCCTCTTGTTAAGCCCTTTGCCTAACAAGGCAAATTTTATATCCTTGTCAGAAAAATGTGTACATTAATTCTGATTCAAGATATGTAAACAAAGTCATAAGCAATGTGTAAAATTAAAAGCAAGAAAAAAAAAAGAAGTGTCAAACTCGCTGATTTTTAACAGAAAACACAACCCAGAACTGCCTAGCAGGCATATTTTTCAGCTGCTGTTTAATTTGTGAGTGAAATGAATATGCAAACTGAACATACTGCTTAATTGGCCTTTACAAGGGAGATCGATAACACAGAAACGTTAATTGTTTCAGCTTTACAGCCGAGTCTGAAAAAGAGAAGCAAGACTGGATTGAAGCTGTGCAGCAATCGATAGCAGAAACTCTCTCTGATTATGAAGTAGCTGAGAAGATTTGGTTCAATGAATCCAACAGGAGCTGTGCAGATTGTAAAGCCCCGGATCCTGATTGGGCATCCATCAATCTCTGTGTTGTCATCTGTAAGAAGTGTGCAGGTAATTAGTGATAAATTATACTCATTGCGGCTTTGTGGCAGATCAGCACTGAATGATCTTTGTTTTCATATATAATGTGTCCTAGCTAATGGGTACAAAAAGTAAAACCAGAGAAAGCTTATTACATTTAAATCAAATTGAGAAATAACTTATAACTCTAAACTTCTCTTATGCATGACTTAGATGTAAAAATTGGTTTTTAAGTATGTAATCATATTTTGTGCCTATTGGCCCATGTATAGATTTTAAAAAGACAGTGTTGCAGTTTCTAGATTTTAGGTGAGTGTACTTTAGAGTGAATCCTGGACAGGTTTACAACTTTGCTTGAAAATTTGTCCATTTCTCCCTAGTCATTTTTTTGTAAGACAAAGTTTTCACATCAAGGTTCTTTTGAGCTCTGAACTTCATATACCAGCTCTAGTGTCTCTTATAATAATAATTTATATAGAAGCATTTCACAAGAGTATTGAAGTTTATGAAAATAACTATAACTAGAACTGTGAAAGGTTTTCTTATTGTGACCTTATACCTGACTACTTGTATAGTGTATTTGGTTGCTCAGACAGTTGTCCAAGTTCAGGGCAATGGACCCTATCTTAGGTGTGTGATCATAGAGATCTTGGAGAAAGTTAACCACAACCTAAAATTGAATCTTCCCTACAATTTTTTAGGCTTACCTCTCCCCCACTCCCACCTACACAGGTACCTACACACTCAGAAAAACAGAGAGGGAAAGGGAGAGAGAGAGGGAGAGGAGAAGGGGAGAGAAAGTCCACTTAGGATATCAGATACTGTGCTGGTCTAGGGAATTAAAAAGATGTATAAGACATGACATTTCCTCCACAAGTATACAAATGCAATTACAACAGAGTGTGCCAAGTGCAGGACTAATGTTGAATACAAGTTTTAGTGACCATAGGACCAGAGCACCTAACTCGGTTAGAGCACAGACAGTGAGCAGTGTGGTCACAAGAATTCCTTTGAATCCTGAATACACCTAGAATTCTTCTTTACTACATTTCTCATCATATTAAGATAGATTTTCTTACCAATCACAGCAACAACAAAAAAGTCAGCTCGCCTTCTACTTTGCATTTTTTTCCCCACCCTTTCCTTCTCTCTAGTTTAACTGGAAGAAATAGTCTTTGTGCTGCCTGTGGCTGTTTTTTCTACTTAAGCTTCCCTTCTTTCCTCCCGCTGTAAGATACTCACCTCATCACTTCTTTACTCTGTTACGTAGGTATTCAACCGTGGTTTCTTTTGTTTCGTCATATAAACTTGCATACATCTGTCTTGTTAACGCCATCAAGCTTTCTGAAAGCTGCCCCTTCCATTCTACGCACACCATTCTCTGTCCCTTTTTCCTTTCAGAGAAGATGTTTCAAAGAGTCTGCACAGGTTTTCTTCATTCCTTTAACTTCCTAGTTTTCCTTCCGCATTCTGTATCAGCCTTCTTTTCTCTCTACTGCAGTACAAATATTCTCACCATATTTACCAGTGTTATTTTACCTCTCAATTTCTGTGTGGTCACTTCTTATCTTTATTGTCTTCTTTTTATTTGAGACCCTTGACCAGTATGTTTTTCTGTGACATCCATCTTCCCTCACCTCCAAGATACCATTCTCACTCAGTGTGTTCATTATTACCAGCCATTTTTTTCCTCTAGTTATTTTTCATGCTCCTGGCATATGTGTTTTCTTGAGTTACATTTTCAGCTCTCTCACTTCGTTGTTCCTGAGTGAAGTTATTTATCACTTGAATTCCACACTCATTTTTAAGCAGATGATTCTCACTCTGTTGGACATCAAACTCATAATTATCCACTTACTGGTATTTCTACTTAGATTTGCCAGAGACACCTACAAAATAACATGTCAGAAATGAAGCCATCGATGCCTATGTTCGTATTTTCTCAGTCTTGATCAGAGGCAATACTCTACCCAAGCCTAACACCTGAGAGATCCCCTTGACCCTTCTACTTTCCTTAAAGCCCTCCAAGTTTCATTTATTTTATCATCTCAATTTCTCTAAATCTGTCCTCTCCATTTTGTTTCTTCTGCTGCTTTATCTCATATTCTGTCTTGCGTAGGAACTCTAGCAGTCCCCTTTCAATTCTTCCTATAGGCTTCTGAGTTCTTTTCCTTTTGAGTGCTATACTGCCTTTAGGTAGTCTTTAAAAGTGCAAACCTATGCAGATTTCTGCCATGGGAATTCTGAGGCTCTGTGCTCTGTGTAATTTCCATCTCAAAGAAGGAAGGAAAAAAACCTCTGACCTAATGTAGGGAGAGGAAGGAACTTTCGCTGTTCATAAGGGAAAGGGTTCTTACATCAAGGATAGTAACTTGTATACCTTTGTTCCTTCTGAGCTTAGAAGTCATCTGACATATGCCTAGGCGCACAATAATGACTGAATGATGATTTATACAGCACAGTTTAATTGATATTGATAAAATGCTGGGCTCTTACTGTCTTCCAGAGTAATAGTAAAGAATCCATATCATATTTTTAAGTACATGTTCATTAGCTAGTTTTAGCAAGTTTACAGTAGTAAAGTTGTAATAGTAAAGGAATTAATATCTATATTTACATACATGGGGTTTTAACATACTATAAAAAGCTTTCAGTGGCCTCCAGTTTCTAACTAACTACCAATGAGGAAAATTTATATATGTGTCTGCATACATGCATGCGCGCACACACACACACACATACACACATACACACACACAAATACAAATGTTCTTTTAAAAGTGTAGTTATATACCAATGCAAGGTGCTGATGAAGATGATTGCTGTTATCTTTATTGTGATTGGTTATGATTGTCTAATTACTGCCACTGTTTGGCATCAAGGAAAGTAGGTATCAGTGTATTTTAAAGGTGAGAAGATGCTCAGATACATACAGACATGTACATAGACATATACACATTTTTTTCAAAAAAGTAAAATAAATTTACATACAAATTAAGAGAAATGCAATTTTTTTTTTTTTTTACTTCAGGACAACATAGATCTTTGGGACCCAAAGATTCGAAAGTTAGAAGTCTAAAAATGGATGCCAGCATTTGGAGCAATGAACTCATTGAAGTAAGTTCTATTTAGCAGTGGAGCGTTGGCAGAGACTGAGAGGAGGTGTGCAGTGCGTGGCATGTATTATTCTAGGAGCTCTTTGATAAAGTTCTCACCACATTATGAAAATGTCTTATAGCCTTTTTGATAGTCATAACTCTTTCGGAAGATTTCCTGAATTATACAATTATTTTAAAAATAAAAAGCACAGAGCGCTTTAATGGCAATAAGTACTTTTAAAGGCTTGCCAAGTCTTTTTAAATTTTAGAACTCTCTTTTTAACCCAGCATGGATAAAATATTAGAAGAAGGATTGAAAACATTTGGCAAAATCTACTGTTCTTCAACTTGGCCTTGCTCTGTCATTAACTGTGATTGAATCTGACTTGCTGTGTCCTGTCTTCATTTCCGTCTCCTATTCCACTACTGCCCACTTTAGTCAGCATTAGCCCACCTACTCAGCCATTTAAAAAGAATCTGTCTCAATATGAGCTTCAAAGAAGAAAAATACTTTTGCTGCAATTTGAGTTGTTTGCAGTTCCTTCCAAGCTAATTTTTACCATTATTTAGAGCAGCTAGTCTATATTAAAAATAGATACAGTATCTGCTTTCATGCTTTATTTTCCTGAAAGCATTGAACTTTTATTGTGTTTTCTTGTAAGTTATACTTTAATTTGTAATGTGGTTCGTTTTTCTGCAGATTCAGATATATAGTATGAACTGATAAGTTTTATGATTTTTTTTTGACAATTCAGCTTTTTATAGTCATTGGAAACAAAAGAGCAAATGACTTTTGGGCTGGGAATCTTCAAAAGGATGAAGAATTACACATGGACTCACCAGTAGAAAAGAGAAAAAACTTTATTACTCAGAAATATAAAGAAGGAAAATTCAGAAAGACCCTTTTGGCATCTCTCACCAAAGAAGAATTAAATAAGGTATTCAACAGAACATAACAATAGACATGATGTTAATGTCTTTTTAATCATGTGCCAAGATTCTTGATAAATAATAAAATATTTTATACTAGTTGATAAAAAAAGTTGTTAAATTTTATTCTCTTTTATGAGATTGTGTCAGTGGTTTTTCTCATTGTTTCACTTAAAGATTCATCACTAAGAGGGAATAATGTTTTTCTTCATAACTGAAGATTCTCACTAACTCAGGGTGCCACAGTCTGAGGGTTTGGAAGCAAATGGAAAGCCAATAAAGTGAAGTCTGAGGACTGATTTAATGTTGGAAGAAAAGGATGAGAAGAGATATAAAGTCAGCTTATTACTTCAAGGCAAAAAATAAAGTCAGATTCCAGCATTCCTATTGTTTATGCAAGAACGATGTAGAACATAAGCCGATATTATTGTTTTATTTTATTTTTGAGTTGGAGTCTCTGTGGCCCAAACTGAAGTGCAGTGGCATGATCACAACAATCATGGCTCAAGGCAGCCCTGACTTCCTGTGCTCAAACAGTTCTTCCATCTCAGCCTGCAAAGTAGCTGGGAATACAGGCACATGTCTGGCTAACATTTTTATCTTTTGTTTTTATTTTTTAAGTTTTAAAACAAAAAAGTTTATCAGAGAAAGATTAGAAGAAAGAAAGGAAGACATGCCAAAGCTGAAATGGGCAAGAGAAACTGCCTATTTTATTTTTATTTTTATTTTTTGTATGGACAGGGATTCGCTATGTTATCCAAGCTGGTCTCAAACTCCCAGGCTCAAGCAATCTGCTTGCCTGTGCTTCCCAAAATGCTGAGATTACAGACGTGGGCCATCATGCCAAACAATAATATTGTTGTATTGCCTCTGACTTACTCTTACTACTGCCTTCATTTCTGACCCCCAAAAGGAAAGATTATACATTTTCTTTGCACTCATCTTTCAAATTCCCACAGCACAATGGTAATATTCTGCAACTCTTAATTAGATTGGAAAAAATATATTAGCATTCAGATAATAAAACATTTAATGGATATTTCATTATTACTGATGTTTTGAACTTGAAATGTTTTGAATTTTTTGAGCATCATCCATTATCATAGTATGTAAGCATCAAAATGTCTTCCAAGAAAATATGATGGATTAGGTTTGAAAGGGACATTACAGCAACAAAACATTGAATTGCGACTTGAATATCTTGGGTTGTAATTTAAATTCACACAAGGCAGGTCTTTTGTGCCTATTACCTAATTGAGGATAAAAGGAATACAAACTTAATCTCATAAATTAATTGTCAGATTTTCACTCATTTTAATAGCTAGAACCTTCTTTTCTCCCCTTAAAAGGTCTGTTATCTTTTAATGGCCAGGCTCTGTGTGCTGCTGTAGTGAAACCGGATGTTCTAGAAACAATGACTTTACTGTTCAGTGGAGCAGATGTCATGTGTGCAACCGGAGACCCTGTGCATAGCACCCCCTATCTACTGGCCAAGAAAGCTGGGCAGAGTCTTCAAATGGAGTTTCTCTACCATAACAAATTCTCAGGTTCGTCACCATTTCTGCATTAACCTGCTGTCTTCTACTGTATCTTTAAATGGACTGAAGCATAAATCTGTTTTTCTTCCCTCCAATAAGAAAAACTGTCATAATGAAGAAAAAGGTATTTAACAAAAAGATGGGAGATGCTTATGACTATTTTTTATATCCTTGTAAGAAAAGAGTTTAGGAGATAAACCTTTTCTATTTATTTGATCTTTATAAATGGAAGAATAAAATAGTTAATCCTACATAATCATTTCCACCAAAATTAAATCCGATTTTCATATATGAATAATAAACATGACTTAAGTGCTTATTTGTAAATTTTATGCAAAGTTAAATGAATATCTCTGTTTTGTGGTACATTTGAAGTCATTTTTCCTCTAGCTCAGAACTCATGTACATATTTATAAGCAAAGGGAAAACTGTTTGCATTTCAAGTGTTTTATTTCTTTAATTTTTTTAGATTTCCCTCAACATGACACTCATTCCGAGGGTGGATTAAGTCAAGAGTCTTCCCAGTCCACATTCCTCTGTGACTTTTTGTATCAAGCACCTTCCGCTGCTTCTAAACTCTCTTCAGACAAAAAGCTGCTCGAAGGTATCTTTTCCGCTACTGTTATCTGATAAAACTTTCTTCCATTATTGAAACAATTAGGTTTAAATTTTGATTTTTTTTCCCCCTAAGATGTTAGATTTGATCTTGCGGTAGAGAGATATTTTTGAGGATTTATAAATGCTTCTAGGCACAGATATGATTTTATGCACTGCAGCAGGGATTTACCACGGGGTTGGAATGCGGAGTGAATTCTCAACAGAATTCACTGATGTCTACCCTGGGGCCAACTGGTTCTGCTTCAGGTTTTAAGGGTTATTTCAAAAAATGGTGCAACTCAGTCTCTTCTCTTAGGGATGGACACACCCACTGGTGAGAAGACACAGATAAATGGGAACACATAGGAAGAACTATTCAATTAAAGTGCTAAGTGATATCAAGTAGTTCAGTTTGTTTTGATGAGAAGGTTGTATGCTTGTGTTTAAGTGAAATAAAACTCAAGCTTGGTTTCATAATAATAAGGGGGATTGATTTGATTTAACAGCATATTCTAGGTGTGGGGAATTATCTGAGCAGAGTCACAATGGACATTGATTCATTCATTTATCCAACTCCTTGTGTCTGCCCGGTGCTAGGTATTGGGAGTATAAAAATGAATAAGACAGAGGCCTCATGCTCATGTCATAGACGTTCAAACTAATTCAAGAAATTGAGGCAGCAAAATATAATGAGATCTCTCTTACTGGGACAAAGAGAGCATACATAAGATCTCTCTTTACAGGTCAGTTGCTCGACAGGCCAATTAATGGGTGTTGATCAGCTCAGGAGCCTGGCATTAGTTCTCTAGGTGGTATAATTCAGCTGTATTGTTTCATGAAAGGAAAAATAGGATGACAAACTCACTTTGGAGTGTTAATCCTGGTACTTGTACATTTGAAGTTTTAATTTCAGTATAAATGCTTTCTTTAAAATGTTTTATATATATCCCAAAGCAAAACTGTATTGGGATTAACTATCCATTATTAGACTTTCCAGATAGGAATAGCTGATCTCTAGTGAGCATGGACTATGTGTAAGGTATTGTTTTACGAACTTTCCATATATTCATTGTAATTTTCATAAAAGTCTGCAAGACAGTGGTTGTTATGCTGATTTTCACATAAAAAATGAAGCTCAGCCTGAAACAGAATTTTATAACTGATTTATGTTATCCTTGTTATTGTAACACTTTGGCCTTGGGCAAAATGTGACAGCCAGGTGACAGTAGAATGGCAGAAAATTTTTATCCTTTGAATATAGATGTTTTTCCCCCCTTCAACAATCGGTTTTTGTCTTCCTTTAACCAATAAAACAAATGTCAAATGTTACATAATTTTCCCTCTTCTATTGCTCTATCAGTCTTTAATCCTTATGTAGTCAAAAGATAACTGATCAGAAGAATATATAAGTACCTGGAAAACCTGTGAATTGAATGTATCACTTGTTAAAATGACTGAATACAACAATTAATGTACTTGTGAATAAGTTTATAAGCTCTCTAGAATGTTTCTTCTAATTACTAGGAGATCATAGACTCACTCCTCAAACCACTTGATTTTTATAAAGATCAAATAGAGATTGAAATACAATATTTTCTTCCTAAAGCTTTTCAGTATATTATAGGCATTCTGCATGCTAAAAACAAATGTTAATTTATTTGTTGACAATTGTGGTTATAATATTCATAAACTTACCAGTTTTCTCTAATATTTCCTTAAAATGTATTGTTTTTCTAAAAATCACTCGAGTACTGCATTGATATTATAAGTAGCTGTAATTAAATTATTCTTTCCTTTTATCTTTTATAAGTTATTAATTATGGATTTTTTTTGGTTAATATTTTTTAAAGATATGTATGCAGTCCCTATATATATATATATGTCATTTAATTATTGATATTTTTCCACTTTCAAACAATCCTTTTTAAATTATATGAAAGTGAGCTTTTGTATTTTGTCTCTGCGGCACAACAGCAATGATTTTGTTTGAAAATAATCTCCTGGAAGGACAGTCTTTGATTGTCTTTAATTCTTCCATCCAATTTATAAGAACGTTCTATCACCTCAAATTCAAAATAGATCTTGAAGTGACTGGCTACTCTTCATCTCCATTGGGCTCCTCTGACTCCAGACACCATCATGTGCTGCCTCTGCTGCAGTACCCTCCTTATTTGTCTTCCTATATCTTCCCACCAAAACTTCCTCCAAAAAAAAGAGGATTGCAGATCTTTAAAAATGGAAATCACTCAGCTACTCAGGAGGCTGAGATAAGAGGATCACTTGAGTCCAGAAGTTTGAATCCAGCCAATATAACAAAACCTCATTTTTAAAGAACAAGCAAAAAAAAAAAAAAGGAAATCAGAGGATATTGGATCATGTAATTACATTGATCAATTACATTTATGAATTTCCCATTCCAGAATATAGCCCTATTCTTTGTCGTGACCTGAAATACCTTCTCCTGCCTCCCTTCCTTCATCTCCCATCATTCCTCTCCACACTCACATGCCACCCTGCACTGATTTCCTCTCTGTTCCTGGAACATGCCACATCTTTCCCTGCCTGTTTGGGACCTTTGGAGTTGCTGTTTCCTTTGCGAGGAGGGCACTTACCCGTCTGGCTTTTTCCTGTCTTTCAGGAATCAATTCATTGCACCTAGTCAGAGAGGCCCCTCTGGTAGCCTGTAAGGGATGAGCCCATTGCTGGCCCTTCTCTTTCAGTGGATGCTGTATATGTCTATTACAGCACTGATCACATGGAGATGATGCCTTTTCCATTGCTTTGTTTCTCTCTCCCTCTGGAGTGAAGGCTCAATGAGACAACAGCATTTTCTGGCTTGTTCAGGATTATCAAATCTTTGATGTCTGAAACTGTGTTAACATCTGATAAATATTTGTTAAACGAATGACCATTTCTTTAGGCAAGTTACCACCAATGCAAACATGTGAGTCGCCTGTTAATACTATGTTTTTGACCTGGGTATAAAAAGATAAAATTACTGGCACAGAGCATATTCTGTGTAATACTAATACTAATACTAAAAACCTATTTTAAAAGGAAAAAGAAAGAGTTGAACTAGCAAGAAAACGTCTGGGTTTGTTTTTTTTCCCCCTGTCAAGATTCTGTGGTAGCATTTACTGCGATTGAGCCCCAGATTTATGGAAAAAAATGAATTATTTGTAAAGAGTTGGAGATTAAAGTGTGGTTGTTACCTTTGCCTCTGAAAGGCAAGCACCTGGACGATACCACTCCATCAGTACTTGTCAGGACAGCCATAGAGCAAAATGATTAAAAACGAAGACAAAAGTCTGCAAATAAAATGCATACAGCCCTTCAGAGTTAGAGAGGCTTCAAATTGTCAGTTTGGGTTTTTAAGATTTGCAGTTTTTTTAGCCTCTGGTTATGAAGACTGATCTGTATTTTTCTTTTTCTTTTTTTCCTTTTCAATTTAGTGTTCATGAAAAGAAAGATTGATAGCTCTTGTTAAACCTCAGTACAGAGCTGAATAATAGCGTCCTGGTTTTGCTTCCCTTTTTTCACCCAACCATGTTTTTTTTCCTTTGGTATCTTACCTTGATTTGTTTATACATGGTTTGAGTATTAAAAAGAAAGTGGTTGATACGGTTTACTAAATATTCTATTTGTGTCTATTTATATTTAATTTCATATTATTAATATTGAGGAATGTTGAAGATCATTTGTTCTATGAAAGCCTAAGTTGTATAGCTTAAAAATGTTTTTCCAAGGCTAAAACACATTTATTTTCAATGGAAAGGATTCTGAATGTGTATTATTATTTTCAGTGGTTGCTGAATACTGTCAATTTAGGAAATTCTTCATCAGGAAACAACTTTATGGTTTCAAAAATAATCATTTTGCCTAACTACCTCAAATTTATTGTATTTATGTGTTTAGAAGATAGGACTTCTTCTCTACCCTAATACTTTTTTACATGGACACTTATAGTTCAAGTTTATAACAGGTACACAGAGGCATTATGTGTTGTTAAGAGGGTAGCTTCCAGAATCCAGCTGCCTGGGTTTCTCCGCCCAGCTTTGATGCTAAGTACTTGTGTGACCTTGGGAAGGTCATTCAACTGTCATGTGCCTGTAAAAAGGATACAAGGAAGAGATATAATAATAGAACTGACATAATAGGATTGTTGTGAGAATTCAGTGAGTTAATGCATGTAAAATGTGTGGAATAGTGCATGGCACATAAATATGAGAGGATGAGGAGGAGGACGAGGAGGAGCAGTGAAGGGCTTATGTGTATGCACAACTACCCCTGGCTTCTAGTTAGCTTTTGAGTTTAGCTAGGTTGTCCTATGGGTTGTTGCTGACAACCAAGGCACCCAACTACATTGTCCATATCATTCTATCCTAGCGTTCACATCCATTGCCTCTGGAGTTCTTTACCTGTGCTTGGGTAAATCTCATAGTAATGTTTTTCTTCACTGCTGTAAACATGAAAATTAAATAAATAGAAAGAATGAATGGCCCCTCTGGCCAGTATACACACTTCACTTCTACCTTACACACAAGTTCTTGTCTATCAAACAGCAGAGTCCTGAGCATTACCCATTCTGTGGCCCCAATTTTGTTTCAATGAATATATTCTAGTGACAGTAAGACTGCTGCAGCAAAGGGGGTTTCATGGAGGATGCTGACATTTCTCAAAGTCAAATTCAGGAGTGCACGACTACATTGGCCTAAGCAGACCAATATCATCTAACCTAATCTTGCTAAAGTGTTTTATTTTTTCCCAAATCAATCACGACTTCCTATCACAGCTTTGTTGTTATAAGTCCTCAAAGGTAATAGCTGCATCTGGCTTGTCTGACCTCTGGCTTATTTCACTTATAAAAACAAAGCTAAGAAATGGTTATAGAAATGATAATGCTACAGAACTAAATCTCCTCAAGCCCATCATTTTAAGTTAATATGAGTTTGTATGAACCTTTTTAAAGAGCTCTGTCATTTGTTTCCCATTAGAATTTACATAATTAAATTCTGCATTCCCATTTATTTTATGCATCATTCATTTGGCACTGTTTGTTTAAGACCTTCGAATGGCTCCCACTTGTCTACTGAGAGAGGCACAAACTTCAGAACACCTGTCATGTAAGACATTTGGGGCCTGGCCTCTGTCGTGAACCTGTGGTCCCACCTCCCCCTTTCCAACTGGCTGCAGTCAGAATTCTCCAGCCAGATAGGGTTTCTGGAATTTCACCTTTCTGTGACTTTTCTCACACTGTTCTTTCACAGAGTCATGGGATGACTGTAGCCCCGAATGCAGTTTTTGCCACTTTAGAAACATGCCTCCTCAATCATAAAGGACTATTTTAAAGGATTTTTTTGGCCCTCCCAATTTTTTTCTTATCACTCCTGTCTGAGGGTGGCTAACCTCCTTGAATGCTTCTAGTCCGCTAAAGGGACGACCTGATGCTTGTCATTCCAAATGCATTTCCCCTTTCATGAGATCACAAGCTGACTGAGAACAGGGGTAGAATTCCTGATCTGTGCCAATGATTATCTAGGTATTGAATATTTTTGCCTTTTTTGGGGGGGGGGCTTTATTATCTTATAAATATTATTCTAGTCATCTGAGTGCGTTGTCTGGAAATTATTTCATGGCTTCTTTTGATTAGTAGTTTGAGTTTGCCTTTTCTTACATTTTAGAAATCTGTAAACGTGAATGTGTGTTTTAAAATTATGACCTTTTATTTTCATTTAACTGGATTTGTGGGCCCTGGAATAATGTATCACCTTCCACTAGGAATTGCTTGGGTCTCTTAGCTTTCTTTTCCAGGACCCATAAAGGATTTGTTTGTACTCTTTACTTCTGCCAGTTGTGCTTGCACTTTTCATTTGTCATTTGTTTTTCAGAATATAATGGTTCTATAGCTCTCAAGGCATCTACCTATTGAGTAGTTTCTTTTAGTGATGGTTTTTTGAAGCTAAATGCATTGTCTTTTTTTTTTTTTCTTTTACTTCTCACCCACATCCCTATATAAGAGCCTAATGTAACCGGGCTCGGTGGTTCAGCCTGTAATCCCAGCACTTTGGGAGGCTGAGGTGAGAGGATTGCCTGAGCCCATGGGTTTGAGAGCCACCTGGGCAACTTGGCGAGACCTCATCTCTACAATAAATCAAAAAATTAGCCGGGCATGGTAGCATGCGCCTGTAGTTCCAGCTACTTGGAAGGCTGAGGCGGAAGGTTCACTGGAGCCCAGCAGGTTGAGGCTGTGGTGGCCGGGAGCAGCCACGGCACTCTAGTCTGGGTGACAGAGTGAGATTCCAACTCGAAAAAAAAAGAGCCTAATATTATGATAAAGGGACATTTAAAAAGCAGTTTAGTGTATATATTTTAAACTTTTTATTTTTAATTATTTTGACTTAAGACTTACAAAAATGTTGCAAGAATAATACAAAGAATTCCTGTATGCCTTTTACCCGGGTAGCTCAATTATTAACACTTTACATTTACTTTACCCTCATTCTTTCTGTGTATTTGAATATATACTCACATATGAATGTATATCATCTATATACACATGCATGTATTTTTACCTGTTTCTCTCATAATCTCTCTTTATATGTACATTTGTTTTTCAGAATCACTTAAAAGTAAGTTACAGAAGCCTCTTTGCCCTTAGTACTTCAGTATGTATTTCTTAAAAAGAAGAGCATTTATAAATAATGCCCTACAATAACCACAATACAGTGATCAAATTTAGGAAATTATCTAATCTATAGGCATTAATGTCTATAGAGCTAAAGCATATTTTAGGTGATGGTCTGATTTGGCCTGCAGGCTGTAGTGTGCTGACCCCTACATAAGATGAATTTTAAATCCTCTAAACAAGGCATTAAGGGAACTACAGGCTCTGACCATTTCTTCCTTTACATACCTTCCTACCATCAGCTGCTACATTTTTTTCCTCCTAATATCCTGCACAGACATTAGTCTTTGCAGTGTCAGAGCTGTTTTGCAGCAGACTCTTTATGGCTCTGCCTGCTTCTCTGGTCATCAGTGTCATAGCCATTTTTGTCTTGTACATTCCTTGCTACTAGATTGAAAATTTTTTTGAGAGCAGAGAGGGTGACAACTTTATCTCCCATACAGCAATAATATACACTTTACGTGAAACAGGAAATTAATAAATGTATTTATTTACACCCAGGCTTTATTTAAAACCATATATTTTTTTAAAAAATTAAACTTTTTAATATAACTCAACTTATATGTTTTGCCTTAAATTCTTAGAGACAAATAAAAAGTGGTGTGTTTTGGAAGGAGGCTTCCTGAGCTACTATGAAAATGATAAGTCTACCACACCTAATGGCACCATTAATATCAATGAAGTTATCTGTCTGGCTATACACAAAGAAGACTTCTACTTAAATACTGGGTAAGTCTACTCTGACACAATTTGGAGGTGAAAGATGTTTTTAGATAATTATCATACCAGGAAATAAGAGTTTTGTTATCATTTAAGTTCTTCTTTACTTCCTATAGAAGTATTCAATGGTTTCTTGAAACCTACTTATCTTGTACCTTCTGAAAGCTCCTTTGGGAATTTCACTAAAAATAGGAAAATTAAAGCTTTGTACGAGATGATATGAAGGGCTAACATTTAAATCAAATCTTATATAAATTTATAATATATCATTCTTGACCATTGTAGTCATTTAAATTTTATCACTTATTTAAAGTAGTGGATGAATGGCAGAACTTATGTGTACATTTAATGAATATTATGTTTAAAACTGGTAAGAAAAGAGCATATTTGATAGTGATTTGTTTACATTAAAATAAATAGAATGCTAAGTATATTAAATAGCATATCAAAAATCTAAATTTCTTAAAGATCTACTTTGATATTTTCATGGTGAAAAAGTTGCAGTGAAAATACTAAGCATTACTTATACTGTGTGTGTGTGTGTGTATATATATATATATATATATATATATATATATATATATA